AAAAACAGGCATGTTGCCTTGGTATGACAGTGAGTGACCAGTCTATTTTTCACTTGTCAATAAGCTTAGGGTATGATATTGCTGTGAGTTTATTTTGTAGGTTTGTGACAGCATGTGGGTATGGATATTATTTTATATCATTTTTTTTTTTGTCTGAGTTTTTATTATATTTATATTGGTAAAGCTAACTAGATATTGTTGAAATTTATATTTACGAAAAAGCTACTGTTACCTCAATAGTAAATTTTAGTTACACACCACCTGTGCAAATAAATCCCAGGTTCGTCATCACTTTATACCCGGAACAGAACATTTTTTTCTGTTTATCTTAGTATCTGATATGAAGTTGTGCTGACATCGTGTGCAAGCAAAAATCTTTTTTTTTTTTTTAATTTTCCTTACAATTGGATATTCTTTGCAAAATGCATGTTTACTGTATTTCACCTCATTCATTAAGGCAAGTAAAAATTCATCATATTGGCACCATAATGTATGAATGTAATTTAGATGTTTTACACTGAAAAAATGTATATGTTGATCCCTTAAAAACAAACTAAAAAAAAAAAATTACTGAAACGTGGACATTCTCTTTTTGTACATGCCACACATGAACACTCAGACATACCAGCCAAAACCCACAGGACAAGTATAGAAAGAGTAGAATTAAAAGTTCTTTCAATATGGTTTTCTACAAGATATATTTATGATGTTTCAATGGCAGGAACCCACAGGAGCAGTGACTCAATATAAATCCACCAGACTTCAACCTCTGTATAGTAATAAATGAACACCATGCAAAACACTGCTTTAAAATAGTTTATTCTGTATGTCATTTACATAAATGTATATATATTTATCTATATATTTGGCTTTCTCATATACTCTGAGGTTTACAATTTCTATAAAATAAAATAGTCCTTTTTTCCCCTGAAATAAATCAGAAAACTATTTTACTTCGGTTCTTGTATGACAAGAAAGCACCACTCTGTATATTACATAGTAAAGTGGTTATCATAAGTGCTGGTTTATCTTTCGCTACATACAGGACCAGCTTTTCCTTACAGTAGCAAAAGGGTTAGTAGCAAAATACGGACATAAAACACTTTTTTTTTTTTCAAAATATACAAAACCATCAATAAATATTGTATATTGTATCAGACAAAGCCTTCTTCACATGTAAACTAGTTAGTATGTCTCCAGAGGCAAGGTTTGAGCGTAAGCAGCAATTTAGCAGAATGGGGTGTATACGAATGAATACAATCCAGTAAGCTGAACACTGATATAACATGATTTAACAAATTGCTGAGTATTGAGGGAAAAAAACAATTTGCACATTTCTAGTATAAAGATTGGAATGTGTATACTAGTGGTTAATAGTTTTCAAATTTTATAGGATACAACTTTAGTAAAGAAACAATCCGTCCAAAATGATTTGGACCAACTGGTTCAATAAATAAATTGGTCAGCTTGTTTTTCTTTGTGTCAACTACTGTATATTATGTGAACAAAAGTGTCGTGTGACCAAATCTTGGGGAAATTTGGTTTTATGTGCATTTTACTTTAGTCAAATTGGTATAGGAACACTATACTGAGGCAAACACAGGGTCTGCCATTGCTGATCTCCTTCTGAAGATGCTAAATGCCTGGCTGTCTCTGCCTTCAATACATGAAGACACTGATCTGGACGAAACATGCAGGGACAGAGTACCCCACTGTTTACAAACTAATTAGAAAGTCTATGACATGGCACTGTCAATTTTTCTTGAGAGACTGCACTTATTTTTTAAGTAATGAAAAAGTGAACCTGTTATGACAGAAATATGGGCAACTTTTTTTTTTTGAAGGTTGAAGCCCTAGGGCTGTCTTCCTGATCCTAGTTTCACTACCTACTAAGTCATGTACATGAAACACATGTGCACCCAAGTCTGAAAACACTTTTGCGCACACTTCTTCACTACACAGAAAAGCCAGGATAAGGATGACAGTTCTTGAGTCGAAACCAATTAGGAACGGCAGGTCCAATTGCCATAGGAATGTACATAAGATGCATTGAGACTTACATGCTTTAATTAACCTTTTCAGATAAATAAGTACACAAAATGGGCAACCTGATCTGTTTAGATGAAGAGAGCTAGGAGATGGTAGACTGCACTGTAGATATATAGTATGTAGGTCAGCAGACTAAGATTTTCATATTCTAGGCCATGACTGTCAGACAGATTGCATCATTTAGGGTCCTTTCACATGGAACGGACCTGTTTAGCGGATCCGCTTGCTCAGCGGGGGATCTCTCCATGATCCCTGCTGAGCAAGCGAATGACAGCTCTGTGTCTGCTCCACTGCTACAGAGCAGACACAGAGCTGCTTGCTCTCCTCAATGGATGGTTGGATTAAAACGGACCACCTGTACGTTTTCATCCGACCCGATCTGACAAACTGAAGGGAAACTGGATCCCCAGCAGTCCCTATTTGGCAGATCAGATCGGATGTCGGCAGGTGTAAACAGACACATCCGTTTACTCCTGCTGCTCCATAGAGGAGAATGGAGGTTCCGATCAGGTCAGCCTCAAAAACGGGCAGGCGGACCCGATCGGAACATCTGTGCTAAAGAGCCCTAACACTTTGGGGTTGATTTACTAAAACTGGAGAGTGCAAAATCTGGTGCAGCTGTTCATAATAGCCAACCAGCTTCTAACTTCAGCTTGTTCAGTTAAAGGATAAGTTCACCTGTTTTTAGCAACATGTTCATGTTCCTACTGCTGCAGCCGCTCCATGATCCACTGCCTCCAGTGACAGTGAGCAGGGAATCTTCTCCCTGAGCTTGCTGTCACAATTTAAAAAAGAAAAATGCTGGGCGGGGCTCCACCCACCCGGCCACATCATTCATTCACAGAGTTCTGTGAATGGGAAAAGTACAAGTACCCTCAGCCTTTGCAGCTGACGGCTTGTAGTTTCCAATGAACTACCAGAACACTGGTGAGTTCTCTAGGTAGTTCATTGATGTTCCTGTCATTGTGTACCTGCCTGCTTGTATAAGGTATGAGCAGACAGCTTACACTAACAGTCTATAGGAGCAATGCATTGCACCTGTGATCTGCTAATGCTTTACAGGCTCCTAATAAAAAAAAAAAAAAAAAAAATATTTTTTTAGTTGCAAAAAGATGAACTTATCCTTTAAGCTTTGACAAAAAAAAATAAAATCTGGAAGCGGATTGGTTTCTATGCAGAGCTGGACCAAATTTTGCACTCTCCATTTTTTTAGTAAATCAACCCTTTGCATAGCTTACATACAAACCACAGCTACACAGGGAAATCCCTACTTCACCTTTCATCCAAAATGAACTGGTTGCTCCAAACCTGTGCACAGGTAAGTAGAATGGTGCATGTTTCCTGTTTTCCATCAATTCTATATCAAACGGTCTTGCAACTGTTTAGTGTATCTGAAGAAAAGCTTTAAGTACAGCTGTACCCATACAGAACACCAACCCGCTCTCCCTAGCCCTCCCGAACTAATCTACACTCCATCTGCTTACATGTCTCAGTAGCACAGTCATGGCCTGCTCTGAGGTTTACAGCTTGTCAGGCAGAAATCTGTTTTAGCGCTAGCAGCATCTGCACGGTAAGCCCTCGAAGACTTACATAGAGCCATACCCTGAGCAGTCCCAAACTACAGCCCTACAGAAGGCTAGGAGTGCCAACTGCTCAGGCAAAGCCACACTAAATAGGTTGTCATCCAGACTGTAAACATTGGAGCAAGTGGTTGTCTGCTACTGAGATAGATAAGCAAGAAACGTTTGTTTTGTTCAAGGTACACCTGTAATTCAACTGCTCTCAATTTATTAAGTCTCACTATGAGACAAATTATATATATATACTTTACATCCTACTTTTAATATCTCTTTTTCCTGCAATTCTAACTCTGCTCCACTGCTCTTATCAATCCTGGCTAAACTCATCAGGTAGAGAGACAAGCCAAACACCAAGGGGTTGACTTACAAAAGGCAAATAGATTGTGTACTTTGCAAGTGCAGTTGCTCCGGAGGTCAGTAAATGAGCAGAAGCTCTGCTGACGTCCATCATCAAGTGCAAGCAAAAATGCTTTTTTTTTTTTTACATTTTTTTTTAATTGTCCTTGCATGTGATTGGGTATTTTTTACAAAGTGAATCTCTACTTCATTTACTAAGCTCTGGAGCAAATGCATGTGCAAAGTGCACAGTCAATTTTCCTTTAGTAAGCCTTAGGCTGCACAAGCAGAAGGATACTCACTTTTCCTCTGACACTTTTAAAACAACCATGTGGACAGGATATATACTAAGTGTATGTAATTGGACATGGCATTACAAACCACACCCAAATTATTTTTGTTTGTTTAATGCCCGCCACATAATGCACAATCTCCATTAGATCTACCAACAACCATGTAGTGCAATAGCTTGCTGATTGGATATATTAGGTAGGTCCTTATATTACACAGTATTGGTAAATCTAAATTTGATGGTACAAAGACTGCGCAGTCAGATTGTTTGGGAAAAGTTAATATTTCTGTCTGTCACTATTGGGGAGATTTCACTTTCTGTGGTAATCACAGTGTTGCCCTTCAGTGGCACAAAACAACATTTTACTCTTTGTGCATTAATGCATTCAACAGTGTCCCTGAAGTGCAATTTCATCCATTTTGAGATTTTTTTTTTCTAAAACTGTGCCATCATTTTTTAGAGACTATTCACATCTTGCCAAGGCAGTGCTTTACAACACAAAGTAGTACAATACTGTGTGTTGTGGTGGGCTGCAACATATGTGTGTTATGGTGGGCTGCAACATATGTGTGTTGTGGTGGGCTGCAACATATGTGTGTTGTGATGGGCTGCATCATATGTGTGTTGTGGTGGGCTGCAACATATGTGTGTTGTGGTGGGCTGCATCATATGTGTGTTGTGGTGGGCTGCAACATATGTGTGTTGTGATGGGCTGCATCATATGTGTGTTGTGGTGGGCTGCATCATATGTGTGTTGTGGTGGGCTGCAACATATGTGTGTTGTGATGGGCTGCATCATATGTGTGTTGTGGTGGGCTGCAACATATGTGTGTTGTGATGGGCTGCATCATATGTGTGTTGTGGTGGGCTGCAACGTATGTGTGTTGTGGTGGGCTGCAACGTATGTGTGTTTTGATGGGCTGCAACATATGTGTGTTGTGATGGGCTGCATCATATGTGTGTTGTGGTGGGCTGCATCATATGTGTGTTGTGGTGGGCTGCAACATATGTGTGTTGATGGGCTGCAACATATGTGTGTTTTTTGATGGGCTGCAACATATGTGTGTTGTGGTGGGCTGCAACATATGTGTGTTTTGATGGGCTGCAACATATGTGTGTTTTGATGGGCTGCAACATATGTGTGTTGTGATGGGCTGCAACATATGTGTGTTGTGGTGGGCTGCAACATATGTGTGTTGTAGTGGGCTGCAACATATGTGTGTTGTGGAGGGCTGCAACATATGTGTGTTTTGATGGGCTGCAACATATGTGTGTTTTGATGGGCTGCAACATATGTGTGTTGTGATGGGCTGCAACATATGTGTGTTGTGGTGGGCTGCAACATATGTGTGTTGTGATGGGCTGCAACATATGTGTGTTTTGATGGGCTGCAACATATGTGTGTTGTGATGGGCTGCAACATATGTGTGTTGTGATGGGCTGCAACATATGTGTGTTGTGGTGGGCTGCAACATATGTGTGTTGTGGTGGGCTGCAACATATGTGTGTTGTGGTGGGCTGCAACATATGTGTGTTGTGGTGGGCTGCAACATATGTGTGTTGTGGTGGGCTGCAACATATGTGTGTTGTGGAGGGCTGCAACATATGTGTGTTGTGATGGGCTGCAACATATGTGTGTTGTGATGGGCTGCAACATATGTGTGTTGTGATGGGCTGCAACATATGTGTGTTGTGGTGGGCTGCAACATGTGTGTTGTGGTGGGCTGCAACATATGTGTGTTGTGGTGGGCTGCAACATATGTGTGTTGTGCTGGGCTGCAGCATATGTGTTTTGGCGGTGCTTTGCGTTGGTATGCCATTGGAATTGAATAGCACCTCAACATGCTAACATGCATATGGTGTGTTGCCATGCTTTACCAGATTTCACTGTGACAGGTGTGAATCGGCCTGAAAGGGTCTTCCTCACTTTCCATTAGATATGAAAAGCACATATCAATGAAAATTCAGAATGGGTAGTAATATGTGAAAGAGTGTATGAAAAATGCATACTACAATGTGTATTTTAAGCACGTTAATGTATGCACACAGGTGAGAAGACCACAAGTGACAGATATACAATTTCACATGCAAACTAGAATTCTTAATTCATAAGTGCCCCATAGCACCCAGAATTCACCTTATACTGGCCTGATTTCAGCACATGAACTCTATTGGTTCTGAACATAATAGCTAGCCTTAATAATTAAGAAATCTTTACTGAACATGACAAAATAATAGAGGCTTACGACCAGTGTTCATACCTTTGACAAACCCTGGACTTCCAATCAGCAGTGCCATGTCACATGACTTACTAGATGCCTATAGGAACAGTGCACCTGACCTTAGGTGCATTTTTTGAACTAATGTAAGTTATTACAGGATAAACAAGAATAAGCTGTAAATGTTCAACATGCAGCAGAGGTGACATACAATTGATCTATGACACATTACATTAAACAGTACAGAGTTACTTGACAAATTGCAAGTAGCACCAATATCTTGTACAAAGCCTTTCCTAACATTAGTCTTATATATTACTCCATACAGGGTGACTTAATGAAATGGGTATCAGTCACTGGCCCAATGAAAGAATCTTACGAATACCAATTTGATGTTGGAAATTAAAAGTAAGACCATAATTAATAAAAGATATGAGCACCAGTAGGAGCATCAGCCACTTCTTTCCTTCCACTAGCTTGTGTCTGCTAATGGCAGCTTTGCCATCAAACCAATCCTTGTCCTGGTTATACAGAAAATAGTAGAGTTTTTTTTTATCTTTGTTTTTGGTGTGCCATTATTATTTAAAGGGGAAAACAATTTTGCCAACATGATATTTTGGCCATGGTGTTGGTAAATATGATGCTGACGTTTTAATAGCACTTTATAAGCAGAAAATGTTTCTGTACTGTAAAGTCAGCAATCTGTGTATATTAGAACAACAGCCGAAGATGACTCTACAATGTGCGGAGCATACAAAAGTTTTCTCTTTGCATTGTAGACCTACTTCACTTAGTGCAAAATAAAAATAAGTTTAAGTGTTGCCTATAGCAAATATGTCGATTTCAGCATTCCATCTTTTAAGCTCTTGTAAGACAGTCACATGAATACTTGATAACTGGGTATCATCATTGTTGCCCATTTTCATCAGATTTTAAAAATGATCCCTAATGTGGGACAATAACTCAATTTTAATCCATACTGACTGCCATATTATTTAGTAAGTGTCTTATAAAGTACATTCTAATACTGGTGATCCTTCATAGTTTTAATACCAAATAATAAAACATAAACTTTAGTGCAAACCAAAGATTTTACAATTATACTCAATTTCCTCCATCACTATAGGAAGAAATGTCACAGCTAATTTTTACCAATGATCTGCATGATTGATGGGCCATTTTCTCAGCAGTTATCTCTACACGACTTATTAAAGCTTTGGGTTTGCAAATGATAATAAATATGTAATATCTGTAGAAACAAGCCGATACATTGCCCAATGTTTAAATAAAGAATAGGGGTTTCTAAAATATATACATTATTTATACTCATATCTCCATATATACATTTACAAAAAAGTATATACACTATTTTACATACCATATAATAATTATCTCTTCATGTGGAAAAAAATATTATTTAACATGGTAATTACACTTTTAACCTTGCATTTGTCTCATTACGTTTTGTGGCAAGGCAGGGGTTATGCGCTGGAACTGTTTGTTGGTTCTTCTTGCCCATTGATCACAGTGTATTGTACTGTATTGCAGTGGCACCTTCCATTAGTGTAGTTTAGTACATCCAGTTCAACAGGATGCCATAATGTTAAAAGCCATTGGAGGCATAAGTCCACTTGCATAGCCTTCATAAATGGAAAGATATAATTTATCTTTGCTGTAAGCTATTTCCTGTAGCTTCATCTTGGTGGAGAATTTCTTTCAAAGCAGCTTGCAGCTACAACCCCTTTTGTTCATACTGAAAATCCTTTGGTTTTTTGGGAGTTGTCAATATCTATGTCCAGGAGCCATTGTCTTCCACTCGTGGTATTGACCTATGAATAAGAAAAGACCTATTAGATCACAGGTCTAATATATGGAACCTAAAACAATATAAATGCAGGCATTTAAAGATGATCCGTGTAGAAAAAACTGATAGTCTTCCGGATTACACTCCTGTCATTAAAAAAGACACTGCTTGATAATGGACTAATCTCAGGTGATTGAAATAAAAAAAGGCAGAAAGATGATTAGGAGCAAAGTGTTCTACACCTACTAGAGCAAGTCATGTAGCATGGGCTGTAGATGTAACAATAACAGTGTGGTCACTACTGTTTCCCTAATCCAGCATGGTTAGAGCCCTACTTAGAGAGGCATAGGTCTAGTGGCAACCTTGTACCAACTTCTTATTCACATCCCTTATCCACCAATCACAGCATCCATGGCTTATAATATCACATTGCTCTACAAGCAACATTATAACAGTGGCATCAATAGAAGTAATATCCAAAGAATATTTTTTAGCAATGAATATGAGTAGTCATGCAGGATAGAAGGAACACAGAGATAAAGTGGAGGGAAGGTATACTGCATATGTTGGTTTAGATAACATAAGACATACAGGTGATGTTCTATAAACAAATTATAGACTAGAGATTAAGCTATATTAGAAATAATTTGCCAGTGATCTTTCATTGTATGTATAAAAAAGTGACTCTAGTAATCCAGTGGAAAAATAATATATATGACCATCCATCAGTCATCCATACGGCTTGTTTGCTGGGTATCCAGAGGCTTTTACATCTAAGCATAAGTGCACATGGCCTTATAAGTTAAAGAGGCAACTGGTTCGTGCTTGAAGGAGGAAAATAAATCTGTTTCAGTACAAAAATAAGGAGGAGGCAGAAGGAAGTAAAATATTTATTTTTCTATTTGTCACCACGGGCTCCAATGGTGATTGCCTCCAGAATTTGTGAATTGCCTGCTTGCCAGAACAGAAACAAATTTCAGTGTCAAAAATTTGTGCTCATTGAAATAAGAACTAACATCATCTGAAATAGAAATTTATCTTATTAGTCTTTGTACAATGTACATAAGAAGCCTACAGCTTTTTTCCACTCTTTATTCCTCCGATACAGTGTAATGTCCACAACTAGGACAACCCTTTGTAAACCTCAGCAAGTGACCAGTGCAATTTATATGCAATAATTGATCAAAGCGAGCTCAGACACTAGTGTACAATTACAGACCCTAAGATTTCCGAGCTGTAATGAGGCAAGCACAGTAGGTGGCACTGCTACAGAGCATGGACCATGAAAAGCACCCAGGTGAGAAAATATGTGCTCCTTCCTTAGGGCATGAAAGCAAGAATAGCTATTAAGTGTAAGCAACAAAAGTTAAAAACACACATTGTACATCACTGTCCACAAAATAGGCCAGCCATCCTTATCTTATCAGTTGGTGAGTTGGTGTGTGCTGATACTTTCTGTACCAAAAATGAGTCCCTCCTATGGTCCTAAGCCACTCTGAAGCAGGTTACCTATTTACTACCACTTTATGGGGACCTACAGTTATGTTTTTTTTCTTCAAAGCTTTAAAGTGTATCTCTAAGCTTTTTTTGGATATTGTTAGGTCATGGGAGATCCCCCTCTCTTTGTACCGATATTATTGTCAGCAGGCATGAAAGTGAAGGAAAATCCATTATTTAAGAGTTGTCACCAGAACAAGACGTAAGGGAAATCTTGCAATAGGGGTACCAGCTCTAAGGACAACTGTCTAAAGCTGGTCATATGCTAGTAGTTTTATAATCAAAACTTTTAACATTCCTGCAAAAATTTTGATCGGTACATTGGATGACCCTGGGTGGCCCCACCCCTTACCTATTTAAGAACTGTCAAACCACCGGAGCAGGCAGATGGCTGGAGTCATTGTCGGAAGCGGAGTCTTTTTTTTTTTTATTATTTTTTTCGGGTCGGTGGGTGGCGGGCATCATGATTGGCGTTGGATCTACTGCGGGGGGACATTCTTTTAGTTTTTTTCTTTTAATAAAGGACTTGTCAAAGACTGTCTCCTGTCCTTTTTCACGCTACATTTTATTTTTTGTAAATGAGTATCGGGACCATGTACCCCATACGCATTCACATGGGGGGGGGCGGGATCTGGGGGCTTCCAGATTCCGATAAGCTCCCTGCCCACAGACCCCCACAACCACTGGCCAGGGTTGTGGGGAAGAGGCCCTTGTCCCCATCAATATGGGGCAAGGTGCTTTGGGGGGAAGCCCCCCTGCCTCAAAGCACCCCCCCCGTGTTGAGGGCATGTGGCCTGGTATGGTTCAGGAGGAGGGGGAGGCGCTCGCTCGTCCCCCCCCCCCCCCCTTTCCTGACCTGCCAGGCTGCGTGCTCAGATAAGGGGCTGGTATGGATTTTGGATTTTTTTTTTTACATTTTGGTGTGGGAGTTCCCTTCAAATTCCATACAAGACCCGA